GTTACTAATATGAACAGCAGAACAGGTACAGTGTAAATTCACAGTTTTTCCTATTTTGTACCTGGATGAAAAAGTGGAGGTGACCACAGGCCAATAACAATTGGTGCCCATTGTGTGTCTGCAGAAACGATCTTGATGTTTTGGCAATGCAGAAGCCACGCACCAATTGAATCTTCGGTACACAGGCCAGTGGTATTGTTGATGGCGTGCGTAGGAATTGTTCTTTTCAACTTCAACTGCTATTTCACACCGGATTTCTTGGTCTATTTCACTCCACTTAGCAACCGTCTATACATCTTGTATTTGGATTTGTTGACTTGGCAAAATAGTTGGAATGAATGGGAAGATGCAGACTGGTAATTAATTTATCCAAAATAGTAACCGCAATTAAAAAAGAAGGCTATGAAATACTTATTTTTTATTTAGCACTCATCCGGCTTTAATTGTTTTTCGCTGACTCATCATAGCACTTTACATATATATAATATATTACATGTGGAGCCTGGGCTATATATTTTATATATCTCATCAGTGACATCACATATGTAGCTTCCTAAATTGAAGTGTTTCTTTTCATAGCCTTCAATTGAAACACTTTTTGATTTTGTTTTTTTTGTTTTATTTGTAAGGTACATACCTCAAATTTCCGAAAGTTCGGTCCTTATTCTCCAAATTCAAAAATCGGCCCAAAAGTGATTATCACAGTTTTGGCGCCAAAAATTCAAAATTCTCAAATTCGGGAAGCTTTATTTTTAGGTTGACGCCCGAACGAAATTGTACTACTAACATCCTAGGCTATTAACTATAGCTATATTAACACCCTTAGTGAGAGGGAAAGGTACGGACTTAGAAACCCCTCTGCTACGATGTTCTCAAATTTTCTCATGGCGTCATCGTATGTGTATATTCGTAGGCATTTTGCTCTGTTCGTGAATATACAAAGGCAATTGTATGACCCAAGTAGAATAACACTCAAAAATTATCAGGGCCTGGATATATATGTAAAACCTTGGCTTGGGCCCTAAAATAAAAACTCAATATGAATGAATCATCATAGATGAAACATGGAACAGAATTTAGACTGTAAAAATCGCCTCTGATTTTAAAGTTTAGTCGTAGTCTTCTGAAAATAGAACAGTTTCGTGATAGTCACAGTATTTTTATAAATGGCTTGCAGCACCGTACATTCCATAGACCAGTCAACCTAGCATCACTGATGTGTACATAGATATGTGGAGATAGCATATGCAGGATTTGGCGACAACGCTCTTATGCAACATCGCTATTAATCCTGTTGGGTTTCGGTTTGAACAAGATATATGTTTGGTTACTTTGGAAAACAAGTATACCAAGTCATAGAATCTACTGATTATGAAGCGTGTGCAGCAAGAACGTTCTAAATCCAAAATAAAATGCGAGTGGTTGAAACTAATACTTACTTTGGCTGAATCAATTTTTTGCTTTTCCATGCTTACGTTTGGTTCGTTGACCTCTAGGATGTCGCGATATGGTCTCGGGGTCCTCGAAAAGACTGCTATGATGACACTCTTTGTTCTTTGTAACGGAGAGTATCTCAACAAACCGTTGCCTATCGCGGCCAACTTATCCTGGCCGTAATCTGTATTGTTGAGCTGTTGCTCCTGATGCCCTTCGCGTAAAGAACATGAACTGGGGTCCGGGTCCATACACTGCAACCTATATAATTTCTTACTATTGTTGTCCCGACACATGGTAATCTGGGGCCTAAATCCGATGAATTTATTCATTTGACTCATATAGGCCGAAAAGTGGTCATTTTGATGATATGGCATAATTTCAAACCCCAATTTCTGAAATAATACTGCAATCCAAATTCCATACAGCTCACCTTTTTCAGGACGATGAGATAAGCTCAGAACCGTCGAGAGATCCGATTTTGAGCCAATATTCATGATGCCTTATATACTTAAAATTTGGGTCCCGGAAGACCCCGATTCTTGGTTGTGTGCACCATAGGTGTGTGTATATAAATATTTAATTATTTCTGAAATCGTGACTCATCACTCGGACCCGCCAAAATTCAGGGTACCGAAGAGTCTCAAAAATTTGTTTGGAGTTGTAACCTCCACATTAGACTCTATGTTATAAACGTACTCTTAAGCAGTACGTAATTATAAACGTACTCTTGTAGAAATACGGC